TATCCAATATGTAGAGATAGGCAATCACTAACTGTCCAGAATAGCTAGTTACTAAACAGGCTTGCCTTCCCCCCAACACGGGCATTGCTCATCTACCAGCACTTCCAGCAGGACTGCCTGTGATGATGGGAAGGTTCTGTGTCTGCTCTGTGTTCATAGGACACAAGGCTGCCTGCATGTTAAACACCCACAATGTGGCTCGTGTGACTGAGGGATTTAATTTTTAATTTTATTTACTGCCAATGAACTAATGGAAATGTGCATGCAATGGCCACATGTGGCCAGTAGCTGTGGGATGGGACAGTGGGGACCTAGACCCTGAGCTCCATGCCTTCTCTCCCCACTGTCCCCAGAGCTTAGCTGAGGGCCTGGCACTGGAGGGTGCCGAGTAAATACCAGCCGACTGAAGGGCCTGAAGCCAGGGCAGGTCTTTGGGGATTTGCCTTAATGAATAGAATCATGGAAATTTGATATTATAAATGGAAAAATAAATATTGTTAGTAGACAACTGAGTGCTTCTGAAGTGTTGGTTGAATACCTTCCCTGATGAGTTACAAGATATCTTTATAGTGGAGTTTATCCTAAGAGCTTATTAAGACTTGGCATTTTTTTCCCTTCTCTCTCTCTCTATTTCCCTTAAGCATAGCATGAGCAAACCTCAAACTCATATTTGCATGAGGTATTAATTTCTCCCCAATGGAGTTTCAATGGTGATATAATGAAGATTGTCACACACATCCCCACCACCCCCACCACCATTGAGTGCCCTTGTGAGCTTAGTATATCAAAACCTGGGTCGTTGCCCTAGCCGGTTTGGCTCAGTGGATAGAGCATCGGCCTATGTGGACTGAAGGGTCCCAGTTTCGATTCTGGTTAAGGGCACATGCCTGGGTTGCAGGCTTGATCTCCAGTGGGGGGGTGTGATTCTCTCTCATCATTGATGTTTCTCTCTCTCCTTCTCTCTTCCTCTCTGAAATCAATAAAAATATATTTAAAAACCCCCACAAACCTGGGTTGTTCAAAAGATCCTCCATCTCCAAATGTACATCCTTTGGAAACTGTAGAACCTCTGCATTAGAATAGGACTCAGCAGCTACTTCATCTATACCTAGCAGCCCATCACTGTCAAGCTCAACTCCACCAACGGGTCACAGTCGGCCGTGGGAGGGATATATTGATTTGGCAGCCTTCTCCCTCTGCCTGTTGAGAGGGAGCACAAAGCCCTCCCCAACCCCAGACTCCTCAGTCACTTTCACATCCACTGTTTTTCTGCAGATGTACTTTGCACAGTTGGTGTAGCTCAACCTAAGTGCATGGCCTCAGGTGAATCACCTCCTGTGAACTCTCTGTGCCTCAGTTACTTCACCTGTAAAATGGGGGTGATATTAGGGTTGTGGGGACAAGCAAGCCAGTTAATGTGTGTGAAGTACATAGAAGAGTCCCTAGCGTAAGTTCTAAATAGATGCTTATTATCAATATTAACATTTTTATTTTTTAAAAGTATATTTTTATTTATTTCAGAGAGGAGGGGAGAGGTAGAGAGAGATAGAAACATCAATGATCAAGGAGAATCATCGATCGGTTGCCTCTTGCACACCCCACACTGGGGACTGAACCTAGACATGTGCTCTGACCTGGAATTGAACTGTGACCTCCGGGTTCATAGGGAGACGCTCAACCATTGAGCTATGCTGGCCAGCAGCCTTCTTATTTCTAATCATTATTTCATCTCATTAGGATCAGTTGAGATGAATTGTTTATTGAAAGATATCGACAATTATCTTTTTTTTCGTACTTTAAGTAAGAAATTGTGAAGTCGATAGTCATGGCACTTTATAAATATCGTTAACCATTATGTCTATGATTAAGCCTGTAAACCAATGATTTTCATATTTTTAAAAATCATGGACTCCTTTACTTAATGGAAGCTCAAATGTAAAACAGATATAAATGGAGCTCCTCTGGGTGAAGATAAAGAGGGGCTTCAAGACCCTCCCTGCCGAAGCTGCTCTTCCATGGGTTTCCTGGGGCCCTGGGCGCCAGGGGAGTCCTTTAAAATCAAGAAGATTATGCTCGAGGGGATGTCATTCATATCCTCAATCCCTCCTCACGCTGGGATCAGGTGACATGCCTTTTCATTACTTCAAATGTGCTAATTAAATATAACGGTTGACTCAATGTCTGTGCTTTGGATCCCGATTTGAGCCTTTGCCCATTGTCTTCTGTTGATTTGCACCAACCCTCCTTAATCTCTTCAAATAGACTGACCCTTAATATCTGAGGCCCAAAGATGTTCTTACAGGGAGTTTTATGGACACCCACTAAAGATGCTATTGGAATCCAGGGTTCTAATAGTTCACCCCCCGCCCCAGCCGCTGTATCCTGAGCTTTGAAACACCAGGGACAATGCAGGGACAGGCCTTCCTGTCCTTTCTGCAGCCTGTTATAGGCCAGGCTCCAAGTTGGCTCTCAATACATATTTGCTGAATGAAGGTTTTGTGTTTTTTGTTTGTTTTTTTTAAGGAAAGAGCAAGCAATTTGGGGTCAGGAGACCTGTGTTTAAGGTTCGACTATGTGGCTCCGGGTAAGTCCACTTAGCCTCTGGGCATCAGTTTCCTCACCTGTCAGGGAGGGATGTGTATCTCACAGCGGGGTGACGGGAGGAGTAAGTGGGTGAGATCTGAAGTTCTCTGTAAACTGTAAAGGAATGCGCACGGAGAGGACTGTCCTTCTTAAATCTCCGGGGGGCCACGTTGGCCTGGCGAGTCTTCTGGGGCTCCCTTCTGGGGCTGAACAACAGGGCTGGATTCATTTGCAGAAAACATTTACTAATTATTGTCTGGTTTGAATAATTATCCAGGGATCCTGGAAACAGTCCTTCCCACAGATCAAACTGTCACATCTGCAGCCGACCTTTAAGTAATCTGAGTGGGGGTAATTACAAAGGGCTGGTTTTTGCTAAATATAGCTGTGCCCCAGCTAAAGGTCAACTTGAGGGAGCACAGTTTGATAATTGCAAGCAGTTTGATAATGAATCGGGGCAAACACTCCCAGGGGTGCAGTCAAAGGTTCCTTCGTACAAAGACCCGGGTGTGGATGCCCTGATGAGAGCACCCAGCTTTCTCACTCCTGCTGGAGAACCTCAAGGCTCCCACTGTATCCAAGTCCCAGCCATAGAGCGTCCATGGGCAAGTACCCACAGTGAAAACTTGCACGGGGATGGGGTTAGCTCTGCCACGCCAGAGTCCTGCAGGTTCTGCTGCTCTGCTATGCTCTACTGTGTCTTTCCTAGCCGCGTGCCTCACCTCTCAGAGGGAGATTTTGCTCCTCCATGGCTGGGACCATCAAATGAAAACACCAGCAAGTGTAAGAGCAGAAAAGACGTGGCTGTGAGTTCTGGCCCTGCCAGGATTCTCTGTGGAGACTTTGGACAAGTCACTTTCTTCATTGAGCTCGAATGTCCTCGTCTATAAAATGGGGGAGATCTGCTTTCCAGGCAAGGCCATGGGGGGGACCCAGTCAAGAAATATATGGGAAAACACTTTGCTGGCCTTAGAGTCCTCTGGAGAGGCCAGAGGAGGTCAAGAAAAACTCAGTCTATCTCCTTAGCTTGGTTTTAAGCTTCTCTGAGGTGGGCCTTAGACATCTCTTGCAACTGTCCCCTCTCCTCATTTTCTCTCTCCCCATCTGGTGCTTCAATTCAATAAAAATTTGAGGGATGAAATTGAAATGAAAAAGGGAGCCTAGGAGAATTAAATTGAAAGAAGGTGACTGTGTTGCAGAATGTGAGGCGTGGTGGCCAGACTCTGAGAGGGCAAAGGCTCCACCGCATGTTTCCTTTTTTCGCTGCTCGACTGGTGTTTCACTCCTACCCCTCTTCTAGCCCCACCCCCAGGCTCCTTCTAAGTCTTATCGTAGGTCCAGAGGATTTTCTCCTATACCCGAGTTTCCCAATCCTATATTACAGTGCCTGGAAAAGCGCTCACTCCTTTTGGTTTGGCAATGATCATGTTTAATAGAGTTGGGTTGCAATCTCCACGTTGCCAGCAGGTGTCACCGTTGAGCACACAATGTGCTCATTCATGCAGCACGGTGTTTATTGGGATTGCTGTGTGTGAGGTCCTCTTCTAGGAATTGGAGACATAACAGTAAAGAAAACAGACAACAACCCTGCCCTCATGAATAAGGACAATAACTAAATGAGCGCTTAGCTAATGTAATGTCAGATAATGATAACTGCTATGGAGGAAGGACAGGCTAAGGATAGAGACTGAATGGAGGGCGAGGTGGTGAAGGAAGGCCTCTCAGATGGTATTATAAAATGTCTTCAGGCCACAGATGGCATATCTACCCATTCATGTGTGTAAGGCGTATTACCTTAAACCTTTTTATTCTATTGCTAAATTGAACATTTTGACTTTGAACTCGCGTTTCATAGAGCTTCAACCTCAGTCATCCTTAGAGACCCCCACTCAGGGAAGAGTTGCAATTCCGGGCTCATAGGCAGAGCCAAAGCACTGGGAGGGAGAGCGAGGAGATAGGCCTCTTGCCCCTGGTCCTTGGTCCCCACAGCACCCTCTTCTATGGCTTCCTATATGGCCTCAGGGCTTTCTGTTGCTTCTGGGTCATGCTTGAGGGGGGAATGGTTTATGAGCTGTTAACAGTTCTGTCTTCCCAGGGACCCAAGCAGAAGGGTTGGTGAGAATAGATTCTCTCTCCTCCCTTCTGCCTCCTCCCTGCCTGGGGGTGGAGGATGGGGAACAGGATTTCTATCTGGTCCTCTGAGGAGAGGATGAAGGGTGAAGCCAGCTCTCTCCCTGCCTCTGGATGCTTTTCCAGGCCTGAGAAGTCTCCTTCTGTGAAACACGATAGCCAGAGAGAGCAGCAGGCATGTTCTGGTTTTGCCCTACCGCTCCTCTCCCCTGAGGCAGTGAGCATGGAGCTGATGATTTGCTTGAGGGCGGGTGTGATATGGGGGGAAAAAAATGGAGGAACAGGTCCGGGTGCCGTCGTGGCGCGGTGCAGCGCGGGGTCGCCATGGCAGACGTGCAGCAGCTTCGGGTGCAGGAGGCGGTGGACACCATGGTGAAGAGTCTGGAGAGAGAGAATATCTGGAAGATGCAGGGCGTCATGTTCCGGGGCAGCGCTGACTGTTGTGAGGACAGCCAGGCGTCCATGCAGCAGGTGCACCAGTGCATTGAGCGCTGCCACGCACCTCTGGCTCAAGCCCAGACCCTGGTTACCAGCGAGTCGGAGAAGTTCCAGGACCGCCCGGCCCGGTGCACCATGCATTGCAACGACAAAGCCAAAGACTCCATAGATGCAGGGAGCAAAGAGCATCAGGTGAAGCGGCAGCTGGAGAGTTGTGTGACCAAGTGCCTGGATGACCATATGAACCTCATTCCCACCATGACCAAGGAGATGAAGTCTCTCTCATCCATTCAGAAATAGCAGTCTTTGCCATTGGCCATGGAGGCTGAGGGCAGGAACCTATTTAAAATGAAGAGTGCGAATGTTGGTCTTTTAAGCAGTTTAGGGATGAAGAAATTCAGGATGGCAGCAAGTTTAAGGCATGTGTCACTTGCCAGTGGTCTGGTGGGAGGGGAGGGGAGGTATTTCTGTTTGTTGCCAACCTCCTGTCTACCAGAAGCATTACCACACCATTGTCCATAAGCTGTGAAACAAAACCCATGAGGTTACTAATTGAGAAGTGGAAAACGGTTTCTGAGTATTTGTTTGGTTTGGTTTTGTTTTATGTACAAGGACATAAAGTTCATTTAAAATGTGGAGTTGAGGGAGGTAGTTTGCATAAGAACTTGAAAAGGTTCCTTTGGATAGATATCATTTCTGTCCAAGATGCAGACATGCATTTAAATGCTCACACATTACACCTTTCAGCTCGGAAACCTACAGAAACATGAGAGGCAATGTCAGCCTGGACCTGGGAGCAGACCTTCCTTCTCACTGCCTACGTAGCCCCCTCAAATAACAGAGCCCTATTGAGACAATCTTTTGGCAACAGGAAGATCAAGGGAGAAAAAAGAGGGGCAGCCCCGCATTACCAAATACCACTTTTGCCGGGCCCTTTGCAACATACCGTGTTCCTACCCCAGCTCTGGCATCTTACTGTTTTGATAAGGAGCTGCTGTCTTTTTACCAACTTATTACTTGAAATGATAAAATAGCTTGTCTGTTTGCTGTTTCAAGACTGTGATATATTTTCCTAATGGTCTGGTTTTAAAAAATAAATAAGGTTTAATTTTCCTCTAAAAAAAAAATGGAGGAACAGAAGCACAGGCTGGACAGAGTCATAGCTCTCAGTATCATCTCAGCCACACCTGTTACAGAAATTCCAGCCTCACTTCTCTCTAAGTTCAACATTCTGTGCTGGTTGTTCTTTCTTTTCCTTACCTTCTTTTTCAAAAATATTTTTATTCATTTTTAGAGAGAGAGAGAGAGGGACGGAGAGGGACAGAGAGGGAGAAACATGAATGTGTGAGAGCAAAACATTGAAGGGCTGCCTCCGGCACGCCCCCTGCGGGGGATTGAGCCTGAAACCAGAGCATGTGCCCTGCCTGGGAATCAAACCAGCAACCTTTCCGTGCATGGGATGACACCCAACCACCGAACCACAGTGGCCAGGGCTGTGTGGGTTGTTCTTAAGACAAGGATTGCCAGCAGCTGTGTGTTGTGCCACACATTTCAAATCCACGCCTGCTTCCTCTGAAGTAAGTGTGGTTTATCCTAAAGTGTGGGAGAAATAAAGTCTTATTAATAGTTTTCCTCCCCCCCTCCAAAATGAACAGCGCTGCTGCCAGGCAAAAGGCAACCACAAGCATTTCATGAGCTTTCGGGTGACTTGGAAACTCTTGTCGAAAAATATGGACAAGCAGCAGTGTGAAGGAGTGTGTAGGAGGGCTGTCCCCACAGTTCTGCACAGTCAGGACAACTAGGGCCACTTGTGAGAAATGTGCCAAAATGTCCCTGCTTAGCGTCTCTTAAAATAAGCTCCTCTCCCACCCTGAGGTTTACAGGGCACTTCTCAGCCGATCTGGGCAATTTTCTCCAGGCCCTTGAAAATGGAAGACAAAGGAAGCTGAGTGACAGGGCATCAGAGTGTGGAGAAAGGGATTGCGGGGCAGGCTGGACCAATTAGCTGCCTTCTGCCCCTCGGCTCTCTGCGGTGGTCCCCGGGAGTTCGGTGGGGAAGCGAGGGGAGCCAGTGGGCCCTGGCATGCTTGACACCCAATTAGTGCTCATTCACCAGCTGACCAGCCAGCCTGCTCCCTTCCAGCTGCTCAGCAGCCGTCTCGGCCAGCAGCTCTAAGAACAGAGGGTGCTAATTGGAGGCTGAAACCCAGCCGCCTCTCCATCAGCCTGGCCCGCCTTGGACAGGCCCCGGCTCTCTTGGCCGAGCTCCTGTCCCTGGTTCCGTCACCAACTCGTCCTCCCTGAGAAAGTGCCTTTCCTCTCAAGTAGGAACAGATGGGCTGGCCCAGCAGCTTCTGCTGGGATTCTTGAAGAGCCCAAGTCAGGACAGGCAAGGTCAGTGGGGGACAATGTGAGGGATGGAGTTCCCTGAGACAAGTCAAGATACTTGGGGAGCAGATTCTGGTCCTGCGAATCCAGATGCTCAAGTTATTCTGTGGTTTCAGTGCTTCCAGGGAGGTCACAGGGGCACCATGAGGTCACATGTGCTCTCCAGAAGGAACCACGGCCCCACACCCCATTCCCACGGCAGCTCCACGTGTGTGTCCCCACTGACAGCCTCAGAGCCCAGCTTCCCTGCTCATCTCCGGTGCAGATGCAGAGGCCATCCTGCTGCAGGCGTTCGGAACACGGTGTCCCAGTGCCAACTCCGATGATGTTGTCTTTGTTGCTCTCATTCTCACTCCCTCCCTGGGTTAGAATTACACATCCGCACCCTCTACCATGTGACTTTGCAGTTCCAGCAACCACGGAGCGGGTGGCATATGCTTCTCCGCCCCCATGGTGATGAACTGGGCCAGATGCCTTGCCGTGGCCTTTGCAAGGGGGGTGGTAGTGACCCTGTGCCAGTTTGGAGCTGAGATCCTAGGATCCATCCCCGTTTCTCCTCAGCCTCCTCGTGCCCCTGTGATCTGCCATGGAAAGATCATGCGCCCGGCGGCCACTGCCCCAGCATCCTGGGCCCCAGAATGAGGCATGCAGAGGAGAGGGGAACCCAACTCAAAGCCTGGGGCCAGCCTGGTCCACATGAACTTACTCCACAGTAGCCAAACCTAGGTCGACCTGTAGACCCATACATTTGAAAATAAATGTGTGCTGTCACAAACACTGAGATTTCGAGGTCATTATGTGACAGAACTGGCTGATATGCCAACAAAGCTGTGAAATGCCAGGAAAGGGCTGCCGAGCACCTTGCAGGCAGCCAGGAGTTGGGTGCGAAAGAGAAACCATCACACCGCCAAGGCCAGGGCAGCAGGATGCCACATCGCATGGCCGGCCAATCATGGGCACCCCATGGGCTGCCTTCTGGCACTACCCAGGCCAATCCAAGCTCCAGAGGGACCCCGCCACCCTGAATGGATTAGGGAGAAGCTCCTGGGCTGTATTTTTTTTTTAACTTCCCCAAGGTGAGGCCTGGAAGGAGCGTGCATTCCTGTTCTCCAGGTAATATGCTCTGAACGAGCCTGGCAAGTCCATGGCCAAATCACCCTGAATGTGCCCAATCTCGTCTGATCTTGGAAACTAAGCAGGGTCGAGCCTGGTTAGTACTTGGATGGGAGAACTAACCTGGCAAGGAGGGAAGGGGGCAGAAACAAAACCCCACAGGACTGCCAAGGCACGTGGGACGATCCTGGGAGAGCTAAGATCCATGTTGATTTGGAAATCTGGGCAGCAACTCTACTCACTGCTGAGATTCAGGAATGACTGAAACAGAGAAAGTGATTCCTAATCAGTTTAACCGAAGGACAGATGACTCTTTCACGGGAGTCTGCGGCACTGAGAGAATTGCTATAATTGCAGGCCCTTGGCAGGGAAATGAGGCGCCTGCCTCTAGTCTCTCAGGCTGCGTACCCCGGGGACACCCAGTTCAGGGACCAGCTCACTGAGACTTGATTCCCTGAGCTGAGCCGACCCCCGCTGCGGCAGCCTGTTATGGATGTTGACCGCAACCTGCTTGCAGATGGCTTGAATTTTGGTTCGGGGCTTTCGAATTGCAGCTTCATTTGTCATTTAAAATATGCACAGTAATTAGGATGCACCGGGAATTTTTTAAAAAAATATATTTTATTGACTTTTTACAGGGAGGAAGGGAGATGGATAGAGAGTTAGAAACATTGATGAGCTGCCTCCTGCCCACCCCCCACTGGGGATGCGCCTGCAACCAAGGTACTACGTGCCCTTGACCTGAATCAAACCTGGGACCCTTCAGTCCGCAGGCTGACACTCTATCCAGTGAGCCAAACCGGCTAGGGTGGAATTTTGATTCTAGTGCTTGGAGAGACAGGCTTCTACCTTCTCCAGGGAAGCCTGCGGAATATGCTACCCAGGGAACCTCTGCGGCCTCCCCGGAGTTTCAGTTACTCAAGATGGCAACCGGGCCTAAATGTCAGCAGTCTGAGTTCTGGTCCTGGCTTGGCCACCAATGTCTATGCATCTCTGGGCAAGTCTGGCTGGTCATTGCGTTGTCAGTTTCAGCCTCTATGACAGGAGGGTAATAAAAACCAGCCTCAGAGGGATGTTGTGAATACCAAATGAGATAATGCAAGTAAGTGCTTCTCACTTTCTCACTGTGTCTGGCACCTGAGGCCATGGTAATATGCCATGTGGTACCTACACAGTAGCTTTTGTTACCATTATTTTTAATAACAGCAAAGTGCTTAGCATATAGTAAGTACTCCATCCATGGTAGAGCTATTACTATAATTAATGTTGTTATGATAATTATTAAGGCAGATCTGATCGGGTGTATCTCATTTCGGAAATCCTTTGTTAATCCTCATGCCCTCAGAAGTGGGTTGCACACCGTACTGCTTGGTGCCCTGGGAGTTCTGAGGCTGAGTGCCTATCTGTTTGATGTTCAGGAAACTGAAGCTCAGAGTGACCCCTCACTGACCAAGGTCCCAGAGGTACGCATCACAGAGTCCACCTTGGTTGCCTCCACATTTCTTCCCAATGCACCTCATGGTCGGGCTCACCCAATGTTTCTCTTCTCCTAGAGCAGCGGTTCTCAACCTGTGGGTCGCGACCCCTTTGGGGGTCGAACGACCCTTTCACAGGGGTTGCCTAAGACCATCGGAAAACACATATATACTTACACATTGTTTTTGTGATTAATCACTATGCTTTAATTATGTTCAATTTGTAACAATGAAATTGGAGGTCACCACAACATGAGGAACTGTATTAAAGGGTCGCGGCGTTAGGAAGGTTGAGAACCACTGTCCTAGAGCGTCTCTGGCACCGTCGTATGTATGCTGCGTTGCACTCATCATTCCCTCGGGTGGAAAACTCTTTCCACTTCTCTGCTTGTCTAAGGTATTTCCTGGCCTAGGAAGCCTCCCTGAGCCCCTCGGGCAGCATTGCTTCAGGGTCTCTGTTGGAGCCTAACCGCGGGCTGTAGAGATCTGTCTTTGCATTGGGCTGTGACCCCAGACTCCAGGTCTGACCCAACTCCTACCTGTTATCCCACCTCAGCATTAACTAAGTGCAGTAGGAGTGGTTTAGGAGCCAAACTGAGGCTGGCTCTAGGCTAGTTCTAAAGGAGTCAGGAGGGTTTAGACCAGGCCACTCAGCCCTGCCTCACCCATGCCCTGAGCTCACGTGCATGAGGGGCGAGCCAGTGGAGTGAGCCAGTAGGGCAGCCAGAGTCCTCCAAGCACCCAAGCCCGGGCCGGGCCCAGTATCCTGGCCATGTCTGTACCTATTAGCTTTGCAGTAGGCACCACAGTAGGGTTGCCA